AATTATAAATTAATAGCTTTCTGGTTTAATTACAAGGTTAATACATTTGTTATCAATTTAGTTTCAATTGCATTTCAATTATAATATGTATATAGCATATAATAGCATATTAAAATTTCAATATTATTATCATTATGTATCAGTATATACACTTAATTATAAGCATTAATTTCAGAGAATTACAGAGATTATATCACACACGAATGTATGCATTAAAAAAATTGCAGATTATCATAAAAGAATCTTCGAAAAGATTAAAAAAAAATAAAAATCTTATGAAAAGATTAAAAAAAAAAAAAAATATATTCACTAATTATTTTATATAACACCATTTGTCTGATTTTCTTCCAAGGCCTTACTTAGATTATGTGTTCATTTTGTTTGCTGTCTTCGTGATCGTGCAGGCATAACATAACGATTTAACTCCTTAATATCATGAGTGGTTTCTTGTAAACTTGTTCTTGGCTTTCCTTGTAACTTTTTTTGATCTTTATTTGCAGTTCCTTTACGTCTAGCAACTGAAGCAACCTGAACTTTAAACATTTTACCACCACGCTGATGACTATTACCATTTACTCGATTCTCCTTCTAGTCACAAGTTTGAAAAAAAGAAGCTATAGCTGGACAGATATGAGTATCTTGTATCAAACGGCATTTTTTATAGGCTTTGATAAACTTGTGCACACTTTTGTTAAATATAGAATCATTTTCTTTAATAAGATTTTCTATATCATTATAAAACCAACGAAATTCATTTACAGTTAATTGATTGAGATTTTCATCATTTTCACTATCATTACTATCATCGCTAGATTCATTGACACTAGATTCATTGGCTCTCTTATCACCACTATCAATATCGGTGGCTTCATTATTTAAAAATTGAGAAAATGACATAGCTGAAGACCCAGGAAGCATATTTTCTTTGTCATTATTATTGAAATTACAATTTGCATTTTCAATTAAATTATCATATATCTACATTGTAGATTCAACTACAGACTCTTTATCTATTTGTGCTTAGTGAAGATTTGCGTAAAAGCTAAGTTCTTTACATTTTTCTCCTAATGCTAAGTAAGCATAATTATACCGACTAACTATAAACATTGTAGGTAACTGATTTAATCCACATATACGATAGTGAATTGCTATAGAGGATTAATGTTTGCATGGAACCCCTGTTGGATCACACTCACACATTCCAAGCTGCATATCTACAAGATACCATATATTAGAATTTTTGCTACTTTAATGCTTATATATCATTGATTCATAATTTATAACTTTAATATCATTTAGGGATCCAATTTGCAATCTAAAAGTTGGAACCGATATGCAATATAATTGTCAAGTTTATTATGAGCAACCGCTAGCAATTTACGTGTATAATAGAGGTCCATTGAATTAATTATAAAGTGAAAAATTTGTACTACATTGTATGCTTGTATTCGACCAAATATAGCATCTTTAATTACTCGAATTCCAGCCTCTAAGAAATTATTTGTATGATTATTTTGAACAGGTAAGTGTTGGCAATATGCAATAGCCTATTTCTTACATCGCTCCCACATAACTTCAAAATGTTTTTGAAAATGTGGATACTTTAAATACACTTGACTTGATATAAATATAATATGTGCATCTTCAAGCCTAGTTTTAGTTTTTGCAAAAACTATCTTTTTCAAATATTCAATAAGGGTAACACAATCATCTTTATTGATTCCATGCTTGCTATTCCATAACCATTTCCACGCTGCTTGTAAAAAGTGAAAAACACATAGTAATAATATTGCTTCATTTCATATATTATGTAATGCTGTTCTTTCTGCTTTACAATCATCAGTCATAAAAATTTTTGGTCCAATTACAGGCCCACGTCTATTAAAAGCTGATATTGGCATAACACATTTTAGCATATCTAAGGCTTTTGTAAAAGTATTAGTTGTTTCATCAGAAGTAAGTATTATTGCAAGAGGCAAGCTACTGATAGGTGTGCTTGTTGAGAGAATTGTCATTGGGATGTTATGTACATCAAGGCTTGCTGTACTGTCCATGTAGACTAATTCGCCAGCTTGCTGCAAAGCATGGCAACGTTTCATAAGGTTTGTTACAATAACTAAAACAAAGGTTGCCCAGGGTCAGTATTTGTACAGTAGATGCAATATATGGTTGCATTAAAGCATTTCTTTTTCTATTAGAATTAAATTCTTCAACTTCTTCTGCTAATCGACTAAACATTTCTTTTCTATTTTGTGTGCTAATAAAAGTGTCAAGGTATTTTTGATGAAGATAATAAATATTGTGTTTATGTGGACAAATTGTTCTATCAGCAAGAATAGCTTCATCATTATCGTACTTTAACTGTATCTCCTCCATATACGTATGATAAGCACTACTGGGATTGTGACCAGTATGAAAAAACCTAAAAAATACTTCTTTTGTCTCATTAGAAATAGGACGAAAGCTTGTTACATAGCCTGATGTAAGAGGATAATTATGATGAAATTTTAAAGAAATTATACAGGGATATGAGTCAAACACATTCTATAATTGTATGCTAAGTGTTGCTGAACAGTCAGTATCCCGTATTCGTGTATTAACTATTTGATTTTTTTTATTATCTATAGTTTTGTTTTTTTCATTAGTATTATCATTATTTTTTTCTTTTAGTCCTTGCTTTAGCTTCACTATATGACTATTAATACAATGGAATCATTTAGAAAGAAGGTATTTAACTCCTTTAATGATTTGTCCTTGTATTTCCTGCATAGTAGTCTTGTGCAGATTGGAAAATTCATCAAGCCATTTTGTAGTATCATCAACTATACAGATATTTACACGAAGTTTTGTTTTAAATGGATTAGAAAATGCACCTAAAAAATTTAATCCTTGAAATGGTTCAAACGAATCAACAATATAATGGTAATTTAAAAGCAAAGAACGTTCTAAAGTAGTAAGATTAATTATTGTAATCTTTTGTAACTCAATATCCTGAGACAAAGAGATATGTGGTATAGAGATTTGTATAATTTTATTATTTAATTTTGATACCATTTTTTTTGAAGTAGCAGGCACGTTGATAGTATTTATGTGTTAAAAAAAAATGTGGTAAACATTATATTTACTTCACTATTGGAATTTAAAATCATACAAAATATTGTCATCAGAATATAAACTATCAAAATAAATATAGTCATTAAAATGTCATAAAATGCAAAAAGTAATCATTGAAACATAAAATGTAGTCATAATGTAACATACAAATATTATTATATTTTTTATTTTGATATTCCTTCTACTATAGTACTAGCGTATTATATTAAGTAGTAGCACTGACTGATTATTTTTATTATTATGAATATACAAGCTAGTCAACCCATTTTACATCACTAACCATTCATTGAAACTATTCAAACTATTGTTTTTGCTTTCACTTTAATAAACATTTAATATTCTTTAGATCAATACTTAAAACTTATGCATTAATAAAGCCTTTAATTTTATTTTAATATTTATAACAACTCCATAATACATATACTTGATAATAAATTGATTCGTTTAAGATGGTTCAACTTAATATATGTTTAAAGAGCAAAAAATAAATAACCATGATTCAATTAATTAGTTTATACCTATACGCATATACTAACATGAGAGCTATACTATTTCATTGACCGTTTAAACCTAAAGAAAGGTATTTACATAAACTACACAACATTTATTTTTTTTTTATACACTATCTTAAATACAACAAAATTATATTATGCTAATTTGTACATGAATATGTAAAGTTAGAAACTTCTATATATGTACATATGTAAGCTGATAATATGTTGAACGATTTTCTACATGGATCTACATCACGTGATCGAAAACCGAGCACATATTATAGTAATGCGTATAGCACATAAATACAGAATATAACAAATAAATATAGAATATAACAAATAAGTACTATGTATAACAAATAAATACAGAGTATGTCAAATAATTACAGGTCAAATTATTATGTATTACAGGTATGTATATTATGTTAATTTGGTTAGTGCTAACAAATCCAGTATATAGATGAGATTTTTTGAGTCATATATATTTCAAGTTTTTAATATAATTTGAATAATCTTCATGTTTGTTTAGTAATGAGATAATCTTTTTGTATTTTCAACTAAATATTCTTTTTTTCCACTTGTTCTCTTTAAAATTAGACTTCTAGTATGTTTAATTATCTTTTTGCTTTTGCTTGTTCTTTTTTAGAATTTACTTTTTTGATTATGAGGTGTGTTTAACTAATACTCATTTCTCTTTTAAATAACTTTCACTTGTTCTTTTTGAAATTGAGTTTCTAGTTTTAACTTTTGAATAGGTATTTTCTTGATTATGAGATGTATTTACAATACTCTTTTCACTTTCATTTGTTTTTTTTGGAATATTGTATAACTTGTTTAACTAATGCTTAGTTCTCTTTTTCAGATAACTTTTGCTTGCTCTCTTTGGATTAAGCTTTTAGTTTAAATTTTTAGATAGTTACTTTTTTAGTTGTAAGATATGTTTACAATGCTCTTTTCACTTTCACTTGTTTTTTGGAATTGGCTTTCTTAGTTGTATGGTGTGTTTAACTAACATACTCTTCTCTTTTTTAGATTTTTTTGTTTATTCTTTTTAGAATTAAGCTTACAGGTTTGGACTTTTGGGTGAAACTTTCTTGATTGTAAAATATGTTTATAATACTCTTTTTACTTTTGCTTGTTCTCTTTGAATTGGCTTTCTTGGTTGTATAGCATGTTTAACTAATATCTACTTCTCTTTTTTAGATACTTTCATTTGTTCTCTTTAGAATTGAGTTTTAGATTTTAAATTTTTGGGTAGATACTTCTTGGTTGTAAAATATGTTTATAATACTCTTTTTGCTTTTGCTTGTTTTTTGGAATTGGCTTTCTTGATTGTATAGTTTATTTAACTAACATGCTCCTTTCTTTTTCAAATAACTTTC